ATGGCAGTTACAACCAAGAAAAAAGTGAAAAGGAAAAAACTACAAGAAGGGCTGCCTGGTGGCGCAAGGGGTAAAGCACAGCACTGTGAAGCTGTCTGCAGCCACTGCAGCACAAATTTGATCCAAGGGCAAGGAGCTACCCACATGGCACAGCAGACCTCTCCTGTCTTGCCACTGCTCCCCTCAGCAGTGTATTTCAGTCAATCTGCCTGTTCTGTTCCCCACACTCACTCTGGTGAATCCTTTCACCCCCCGCACCTCTAGCCTGTACCCCAGCTCTTGTATGCATAAATAAATAAATATTTAAAAAAAAAAAAGAAAGAAAAAACTATAAGAAGCTTGTTTAGGCAGCTCTAAGAATATAATATAAAGCTGTAGAAATTAAAATATGATGATAATGGTGCAGGATTAAGAAACTAAGTCATGAAAAGTGCAGAAGCAGATCCATATATATTTTATGGTAAGGATGGTATTTTCATTCAATGGGAACATAGATGGACTATTTAAGATAATTCGATTTCTATTTGGGAAAATGTAAAGTGGGATCAGTACTCCCAGAGGAAATGTAAAGCTCCTAGAGGGTTTTAATCAGAAAGCTTTGATTTCAGATTCAGGATCACATGTGTTGTTTGTGTAGAATGGGAGATGGCCGGACACATTATGTTTTGAAGAGACATGACCTGAGAATGGATTGGAATATGGAAAAGCAGAGGAGAAAGAAAAGTCAATTATGACTCCTAGGTTTCAGGCTTGAGAATCCACTTACTAAGAAAAAGGAGCATAGGGAAAGGAATGATTTGGAAAGGGAGATGAGTTCAGATTTGGACCAGTACTCAGCTGGAGTTGTCTCCTGGGTATCCAAGAGGAAACGCCTGTTGTACTTGTGGGTGGAGATCCCAGCAGAAATGTCTGGCCATATAAATGGTGACTGACCCAACAAAATGAGCGTATGATGGCATACTTAAATTTTTTCTAGCTCCCTTTCCTCTGCTTTTGGTCTTTCACTAGTTGCAGGAATAAAGCCTATTAACTGCAGTCAATGGATGGTTTCGCTTCTAATGATGACCAGCACTTTAAAAAAACATAAAAAAACATTTTGCTTGTTGCCTTGAACTTCGCCTTCAGCATGTAAACAAAATTCTAAGCGAATTCTGAGACTGCCATTTTTTGTAATGTTTCTATGAAAGGTTTAGGTCTGAAAGTGATCCAAATCCTCTTATTATACAAATAGAAAACAGTGGCCAGGATGGTTGTAAGTTTCACAAGGTTACATGGCTGAGCAGATGCAGAATTGGCTGTAGAATTCAGGACTCTGTACTGACTGGGCAAACTAATTTTACTCTTTTTATGCTTCCTTCTCCTCTGAAGAGCTCTTGGCTTCAGAGCACTTCTTACTAATGATTTGTTCCTTAAGGGGCATGGAATAATACCTACTGTGTTTGGTCTTGAAGTTCTGAGGGCTGGAAATTTTTTTATAGAATATTTGTTTTTATAAATATTTGTTCTAGTGATAAAAAGTACCCAAAGAAAAATTTTAATTTTTATAAAGCAATTTAAAACTTCTCATCGTTCATTCACTCCTTTGACTCCTAATGAATAGAATAACTCAGTAACTGTGCATATACACATACAATTTTACTTACAATTTCAGGAACTCTATAGATTCTAAGTTAAAGGACTTCCATATTATAACTTGGGCTACTCTCAAGGATGTGTGAAGCTGTTTTCTAGAAAAAAGTTTGAGAGTTTCCTCATTTTCTCAAATGAGCACCAATATGTTTTAAGGGATTGAACAGTAGTTCAATTAACTTCCCAAATGCCTTAGCAGACAGTCTGTGTCTGCTGATCCATTAGTCACTCTTGACTGATGTAATATCCATCTTGGTAACACACTCTCTGAAATTTTTAAAAGGTGGTTGGGTAGTGTTAGAGAGTTAAGAACCTGTTAATGTCTCAGTAGAGATTGTATAACTTCTCAACATTCTTATAATGAGTAACTCAGATGTCACTTGAACACTGACAAAGAAAGGTCTATCTTTTCTGATGAAAATCAGGGTAAAGAAAAGCCTTTTTAATTGGTGCTAATCAATTTTTGATGTAATCTAATTTGGAAAGTGTGGAGAAGACACATTCTTCTTCACTTTCTATCCTTCCAAAGGAAAAAATTATTATACAGATGACATATGCAGGGGTTGTGATGTGTGTCCTGTCCATGGAAGGGAGACAATCTGAACCCTAAGTTTCTCTTTGGCCTTGTTGTGCCTCCTTCTGGCACAAACTTCTTTCCCATCACCTCCTCCACTTTCCATTTCTTTAATGAAGGGAAATTTCTTCCAGGCTATAGCCCTTCCTGTTTAGGATGAATTTCTAGCTGGATGAGCTACCTCCTTTGTTCTCACTCACAGCTTTAAAAAAAAAAAAAAGTCCTGCTTCTTCCATGGAATTTCTGGGGACACATTGGTACCTTTTTTGTTATAAAGTCTTTTCTTACTACCTAAAATTGTACATTCTTGAATGAATCCCTAATGACTATCTCCCTCATAAAATCCTCAGGGACACTGACAGCACACACAGATTTTTATTAAAGGGTACTCTAGTGGCTAGCCAGTCAGACCTAATCACATAGCCTCAGAGCATTGCCTCATGGTTCCCTCCACTTTAGAGCTGTCGGTGGTTACAAAAAGCCACACAGCACTGTTTGTATACTAAATAATTTGACCAGTAGAAGAAAGTTTACTTTTTTGTCAGAGACTTGAGGAGAGTGGATGGGAGGTTTGACTGAAGAGCCACACTGCCTGGTTTACATCTTTCAGGCTGTGTGATCGTGCAATTGCTGAACTTTATCAGCCTGTTTATTCATCTGGAAATTGAGGCTAGCAGTAGCACCTTTTTTGTAGGATTATTTTGGAAGCATTAAATGAGTTGCAATAGGTAGCGTTCTAGGTCATAAATACACAACAATTCTAGGCAAAATAAAGATAATGACCAATTATGTTATAGGGTATTTTTGTACTTTGTTTTTAGTATGATCATTCCGTTTTATTACTTTTTTCACCATTGTCTTCCTAAAATTAAAAATCAAGTTATCTCTTAGAGATAGTGTTATCTGAAATATTCACATTAAGTAATTGTTTAGAAAGACAGCTAATTAAAACAACACAATTTTATTCCTTGGATTAGTTGTTTACAATTATTGTGCAAAGTTTATTTTCATGCAGGTAATGAGTAAGTTTTTCTTCCCCAGCCCCATGGACAATGTAAAATAAGTTTCATCTGTTTGAGCATTTCTGTAATACCATCCTTCATAATTGAATGTTCCTCACAGATTTCCTGGAGGAAAAGATTAATAAAATATTATGTTATTCTAAAATCAAGCTGAACTACCCAGCATGGAAGAGACTTCCTTGCAATGTTATTTTCTTGAATCTTTAAAGATTGTTTCACATAGAACTTAATTATGCATCTATGTCTTTTTTTCCCCCTTGTTAATGTGGTGAGTCCATAAATGCCAGATTCAAAGTTTCCGTCAGAAAGAATTATTTTTAGGTCAGCCTTAAAAACAGAGAGGGAAGTGTGAGAACTGAAGAAAAAAAACAAAACCCTTCAATTTATAATCTACACCCTTAATGGATGATTTCTATAGTAACCTGATTGTAGAGGTAAACTACAAATGAAATTGAGACAATATCAATCTGTGGCCTAAATCTGCTCTTTTGGGTTTTTATTATTGATAAAATGTTAATAACAAAAATACCATTCATAGGTCCCAGTAGCATGAAAATCTTTGTTTTCTTCTTGGTCTCCTGCCCCTTTATCTATTTTAAGAAGACACTTGGGGGTGGGGGAACAACCTTAGAAAGGATCATAAAGGAAGAAATAAAATGTTAATAACAAAAATACCATTCATAGGTCCCAGTAGCATGAAAATCTTTGTTTTCTTCTTGGTCTCCTGCCCCTTTATCTATTTTAAGAAGACACTTGGGGGTGGGGGAACAACCTTAGAAAGGATCATAAAGGAAGAAATAACATAAAAGCAATAGACAAGATGTCTGAGAATTTTCTCACTTGTTTTTAATGGGAGATATGGATGATAGGTGTGTCCATGAAGGAACTTAAGTTCTCTTTAAATGACTTGTCCTTGTTCAGTCCATTGGCACTCTCAGATCCTCTCAGATCTTTTCAAGTCCAGGAAGCTATAGGCCTGGGGCATTGGTTCTATTTTTTTTTAAATGATATTTAATTTTAATCCTAAAAACACACCATACCTTTTCTTAAAACACCTTCATTACAGGACCTCCCCGGTGGTGCAGCGGGTTGACCGCAGTGCTATGAAGCTGTCCACAGCTTCTGCAGTGTGGATTAGAGCCCGGCCAGCCAGCAAGATACCCACATGGTGTGGCAGACCTCTCCTGTCTCGCCCACTGCTTCCCTCAGCAGTGTATTTCAGTCAGTCTGCCTGTTCTGCTCCCCACTCTGTCTCTCGTGAATCCTCTCACCCTCCCATGCCTCTGGCATGTACCCCAGCTCTTATATAAAAATAAATAAATCTTTTTAAAAAATTATTAAAAAAAGCCACCTTCATTACAGGGTTGGTTCCAGGATGAGTAGTAAGGGTCATACAGATTAACACTGGCAAAAAAAAAGACATATATAAAAGAAAAAAAGAGTACTTTAAAGAAAACACAAGGTACTTGACTTGGAATGAATGCAGAGTTGAATCAAAGACCTAGAACACATGCCATAAAACTAAATTATTTTAAAAAAAGGAAAAAAGAAACTTGGTTAGTCCATATGCTGTATTTTGTTGGATTTTTCAACGGTCTGTCAGTGTCGTTTGTAATGCTTGTTTTCATTGGAGGGAGGATGGAAGGAGAATGTGATTTTGCTTCATTCGATGGTAATGGTGGCGTCTGGTATTTAGTATGTTCAGCCTGACTTGCATGCTGGTGGTGCTGATGGCAGCTGCTCACAAAACCAATCTTCTTTCTTGTTCTTTTCAGATTTTCGCCTGATGGAAGACTAATTGTATCTTGTAGTGAGGATAAAACTATTAAAATTTGGGATACCACCAATAAACAGTGTGTTAATAACTTCTCAGATTCTGTAGGGTAAGCCTTTCTATTTGTGCATTTATATGGGTTGGTATACTGAGACAATTATTAAATTTCAAATAAACGAAATGGAGTGAAGAAATCTACATATTAGACTACCTTCCTCTTTCTTCTTAGGTTTGCAAATTTTGTGGATTTTAACCCCAATGGTACATGCATAGCTTCAGCAGGCTCTGATCATACTGTGAAAATCTGGGATATAAGATTGAACAAATTACTCCAGCATTATCAAGGTAACACTTTCTGTAACAACAACAAAAAATGAGTTGTTGGATCGGTCTTCCGGGAATCTCTTAAACTGACAGACTATCCTTCTCAGTGGTGTTTAGTCTTTATAATGAGAGGCCTGGACTTATTATCGCTCCTCCCTCCCTGCCTTTGAACTGACGAGAGAGCAGCTGGTACCCACCTCCCCAACAGGTTCACACTGGTTTTATATTAAATCCCTTTCATAACATTTACCATATAGAAGGTAATGTACTAAATTCTCATAACAGCCTTAACCCCTGTTTTAAAGATTGGGAAATTAAAGAAGGTAAAATAATTGCTAAAATAATTGATAGAACTGACTTGATTGGCATTTCTGTTTTTAAAGTACATCAAAGAACAAACTTTGTTGTGTGATACTGCCTCCTATTGGAAGGATGGTGTCCACAATTTTTTTTTTTTAAGATTTATTTATTTATGCATATAAGAAATGGAGTGTAAGCCAGAGGTGGGGGTGATGAGAGGATTCACCAGAGAGAGTGGGGAGCAGAACAGGCAGACTGACTGAAATACACTGCTGAGGGGACCAGCAGGCAAGGCAGGAGAGGTCTGCTGTGCCATATGGGTTGCTCCCTGGCCGGCAGGGAATCGAACTCATGCTGCAGTGGCTGGCAATAGCTTGATAGTGTTGTCTTTAACCCTTGTGCCACCAGGGAGGCCCCGTCCAGAAATTTTAATTCTCAAAACAATCTAGCAAGACTATATGTCTCCAGATAAATCTCCACACTTCACCTCTTAGTACCAAGCCACTACCTGGTTATTAAATTTAATTTAAGGGTAGGTTGTGTTATCTCATGTGAGCTGGTAGTGGTAACTGTTGGTTATATTGGTGATATATCTGAAGATTTTATAGTTTTGTGGTTAACAAGGTCACCTTTCCCTGACATACTCTCATTTTTAAAGCTATTCTGTTTTATTAGCTGGGAGCTTAAGCTGTATGATAGTAACTACCGATGTTAGAGAGCTATATGGAATTTTGGTGTGTTGTAGAGACATTATCTCAAGTTGATTCTTGTTTTCAACCTAATATAGCTAACAGGGAAAACGGGGCGTGTTTAGAATTAAGAATTGCCTTCTGAATTTTTTGCTTTTATTTCCTACAAATCAGTTCACAGCGGTGGAGTTAATTGTGTATCATTCCATCCTTCGGGTAACTATCTCATCACTGCTTCTTCAGATGGTACTCTTAAGATTCTGGATCTCTTAGAAGGAAGGCTCATATATACACTTCAAGGACACACGGTATTAACACTAATGTTTTCACTTTTTAAGTAGTATATATTTTAAAGTTTTAATTCATTTTCTTACACATTTTCATTGTTTTCTCAAGTAGAGCACACATTGCTTTCAAAAAATATTTTTGCTCCTAAGGCTATGTTTTTATCCCCCTGAAACAACTCATTTATTGTTATTCTTGTCAAAATCAGTGCATATCTTTCAGTGGCCATTAAATCAGTCCTCCACTGCTGTCCCAATCAGTACGTAGTATAAGTTTGACCGGTTAAATGAGGATGAGTCACTTTTACCCCTTGTGGCTTTCTCCTCATGTGGACACTCACTCACTAGCTCTCACGCCCTCTCGACTCTCTTGCTTCATATACTAATTCGGTGAATTTAACAGAGCTATTTGACAAGTAGAACCCGATCCTTCTGTGTTTTGTTTTGGAAGTGAGTCTGTCCTCACTGTTTTTCTCTAATATTTCTTGTGGGAGGCCTTGTCCAGTCTTGCCTGTCACTGCCCTTGTCCAGTCTTGCCTGTGACTGGGTAGACAAATCTAACTCGTTCTGGAATTCAATTCTAGACAGTCCATTTGCTCACATATAAAGCCACATGTTCTTTTTATGGGCTTTACCAGTAAGAATGAAAGCGTCAATGCTATATTCTTTTGTCTTATTACTCAGTTTGGCTTATAACCCTTTGTGGAAGAGAGGCATGATTTACTGAGCTTGTTCATAGACACTTACAACACAACATGCATATATACATATAATGTGATCAAGAAAAAACTTTTAAAATAATTCTTACTACTTTTATTCTTAGGTAATTATTTACGAGTTCAGTGATCACAAATCATGGGTACTTAAGAGATGATAGATTCAATTCAATAAATATTTATTGAAGCCTAACCAAGTAATTTTGGACAAGTTACCTATTTAAACATGAAATGCTTTGTAAGTGTATAAGCTATTCCTTCTTTCTGGGTAAATATTGAAACTTTTCCTAATACTTTAAGTGTACCCTCTTGAAAAAAAAGATGTTATTTACTTTTAATAAAGTATAAGCAAGTTATGTCCAGAAATAGAATAGGTTTTGTGGTCTAGAGGAGAAAGAGTTCTCTCTACCTTCATAGATCCTGCCTGGCTTCCTGCTTTGCTTTATCATTTGTTTTGCAGCTGAATTAAAATTAAGCAGAAATAGACACTAACCCACTCATATATATGGGTACCCATGGAGTTATACTGAATAAACAGCCAATAACAGTGACTGAGGATTTAAAAGATCTATGGAAGAAGTACAGAATAATAGAAAAGAGAAAATACTATCTTTTATAATATATTTTATAATAATTTCTCTTTTCTATACACCAAGATTAGAGTGTTTCACAGTCTGGATGTGATGGCGTTTATGAAGTTGTAATAACCTCAGTCAGTGGGATGTTCTACTTAAAAAATGCGAGTTGTTGGGCCTCCCTGGTGGCGCAGGGGGTTAAGCACTGCACCATGAAGCAATCCAAAGCCTCTCAGCATGAGTTCAATCCCTGGCAGCCAGGGAGCAACCCACATGGCACAGCATACCTCTCCTATCTCGCCCGCTGCTCCCCTCAGCAGTGTATTTCACTCTGCCTGTTCTGCTCCCCACTCTGTCTCTGGTGAATCCTCTCATCCCCCGCATCTCTGGCCTGTACCCCAGCTCTTGTATGCATAAATAAGTAAATCTTTTAAAAAAAAATGCAAGATGTTTTCCCCCCAAGTTTTCTTGTATAGATGGACGTATATTAAAAAACCATAAAGTACATGTGTGTGTGTGTGTATATATATATATATATATATATATATATATATATATATATATATATATATATATGGCATGGGAGGGTGAGAGGATTCACCAGAGACAGAGCAGGGAACAGAACAGCAGACTGAAGAAATACACTGCTGAGGGGAGCAGCGGGCACGACAGGAGAGGTCTGCAGCACCATGTGGGATTCTGGCTGTCTGGCCAGCCAGGATCGAACCCGCACTGCAGAGGCTACGGATAGCTTCACAGCACGGTATTCAACCTGCTATGCCACCGGGGAGTCCCTATATCTATCTATCTTTTAAAAGATTACTCCTTTATTGTAAGATTTTTATTTTATTTTTATGTAGAACTGGGGTGTAGGCCAGAGGTATGGGGGTAAAAGGATTCACTAGAGACAGAGTGGTGAGCAGGGCAGGCAGAACTACTGAGATATACTGCTGAGGGGAGCAGCAGGTGAGACAGGAGAGGTCTGCTGCGCCTTGTGGGTCAGCTCCCTGGCAGGGGATGAACTCAGGTGTCTTTGCAGTGGGAGGGCTGTCACAGGTGGTAGCTCTGAGACTTAACCTCTAGGCCACCAGGGAGGCCCAAGTACTAATATTTTGGGATGACAAATAATTACTCTTGTCTGGACTGTAAAGTTGACCTTGAGGCTATGCCTCTTGAGACTGTGCTGGGGTAGTCTGGGCCAGTGCCACAGCCATTGCTCAATGTGAAGTTGTCTTTACCTTTCACCCAGATCATTGCAGCAACTTCCTCACTAGCTTCCAGTCACTCATTCTTACTTTAATTCATCATTCTCACAATGGTAATATCAGTTCTCATCCATCACAGCTCTCCTTCTTTGTTCTGCTCTTCAAACTTTTAGTGACTCTGCTGCCTACAATGAGAACTCAATGAAGCTGGTGTAGTCAAGAAATGGTCTTGTTCATACTGTATATTCCCATAACCTACATAGGCATCAGTCATTTTCTGATGCCATCAGTGAGTTGCTAAATAAACTACCGCCAAAAAATCAAAAAATCTTAGCAGACATTCTTACCATACATGTGCAAGCTTTTCTTTAAGAAAAATAGTGTATTTTATTATTTTTATTCATATTTATTCATCATTTAATATCATGTATATATGTTTAATATAACTAGATTAATTCTTTGATTACCTTGAATGCTAGTTGATAGCAACTGGCTCCATGCTATCAGATTTATTGCTTACATAGTCTACATCAATTAGGAATATTAATTAAATGAATTCAGCAAATACTCATAGTCCTCTTGGCCATAAGAAAGTGTCACCAAATACCTCTTTTATCTCCTTTTATTTCTAGGGCCCTGTTTTCACTGTTTCATTTTCAAAAGGGGGAGAGCTATTTTCATCAGGAGGTGCTGACGCACAGGTTTGTAAATCATTTCCTGTTGATTTGGTTAAGGTAAAGGAATCCAATACCTCAGCTAAGATTTCTACAGGCAACTATGTATATATATGCAAGATGTTTATATGTGTTTGCTTTAATCCAGTGCCAGTAAGTCTGTTATCTCAGAGCTGAAGTAGTGCCACTTCAGATCATTTTTGGAACACAAATAGCAGTTATTTTACTTTGCTCATATTTGCGCTTAATTATACATGTGACTGGCACTCAGTACCCAATATTCCTATGGCACTTTCACTTAAATTATTGCCCAATCTTTTATCTGTATATCCTGGTTTTCTTTTAATGGTAAGCTTCTTCAGTATGATAAATAGAAATTGCTTGTGTAGCTAATCTGCATTGATTTAAAATAACAAATGTTATTCATAACCAGATATGTTGAATAAGGTGAATGATCAAGACAAAAATATGTTTGGGGGCTTTATAAAAAAATGAATTTTAATGTAATAAGTTATTTTCTTGACATGTATTTTTAAAATATCAATTCTGTGGTTTGTACATGCATGTCAATGACTGTTAACATGGTTAATTTTTATAGGTCTTACTATGGAAGACTAACTTTGATGAGTTGAATTATAAGGATATTGCTAAAAGAAATCTCAAAAGATTACATTTTGATGCACCACCACATCTTCATGATATCTACCCAAGAACACCACATTTCCATGATGGAAAGATGGATACTGTTGAAGTGAGTGCCTTGTACATAAGTATATATGTGTTTTGAGGTCTTAAGACTCACTACTGTGTAGCATTTTAGAATTTTATATACTGTTCACCCTGTGGTTCCACACCCTTTCCCGAGATCTCCATGTCCACCACCCAACCAGCTGTTTTTTTTCGTTTTGGTTTTCTTACTCTTGGTTTTTTCTGTTACCTCTGGCATTTCTGTTAGTTTCATGGGTGTGTGTGTGTGTGTGTGAGAGAGAGAGAGAGAGTTTTTAAGTTTTTAAAACTTAAGTTTTACAAGTTTCATAATTTTGTTTAATCAAGCCATAGTTAAGGCTTTTTGTCCTAGTTTTTTGTGGTTGTGTTTCTTTTCAGTTCTTTGCTGTAATGTTTGTCCTTTCCAGCTTCCATCTCTCTTTCTGGTTCTAAATAAACTATTTACTGTTGTCCTTTATTCCTTCTTAGGTTACTTACTCTATTGTCTTTTTATTTTTTTACTTCTTTGAAAGGATGCGGTGTAATTTGTTTGTGGTTCATATTTTTTGTGTCCATTTTTATAATTACAGGTATATTTGTTGATGCCATGTGATCACAAATATTCACATAAAATATATATATGAAGTATATTTTAATTTAATTTGAGTTTCCTTTGCTTGTTTTACCCAAGTTGGTTTTATTAACTCTTGGGTATTTTTATTCTCACACCTATTCTACCATATCAAGCATTCCAGGCTGGCTTTCATCAGCAGCACTGCTACTATCCTGGGGTCCACTTAGCCCAGAGAGGTGGGTGGTAGAGGTGGAGTCTGAGTCCAGTCTCCTGGATACCCCCCTGCCTCAATGTTAGAGACTCAAGCTATTTGCTGTGATTTACTGTCAACCACAGGCCATTAAAGGAGGCTGAACTTTCTTGAAAATGTCAACAAGTTGTCTGAGTAGTTCTGTTCTGACAGTGCAGTCAGAAAACAGTAAAACCAGCTGGGTTGCTCTGTAAGAGTAGGTCAAGATGACCCAGAGCATTCAAAGCCACACTCAACACTTAAAAAAAAAATATATTGAAAGCTGACTTTTTACATGAAATTAGATTTCAGTTACATTGTTCAGGATGCTGAGCATGTGGCTAAATTATGTTTGTGACCTTAAGAAACTCAGCTTCTGCTTACCCAGTTTAAATTAGTCTGTAAGCATTCATAGTTGCCTCAATTAAATACAAGACATGACGTATTTGTAAAACACCTTCAGATCCTATCATAGAGTACCAGAGAAATGATAGGATTCTGCATATGAACATTTTTCTTAAAAATCTTTTATAATGAAGCAAGGTTGTAAAATTTTCTGCACATAGAACAGCTTTAATATTACAAATAAATAATGGTTAAATGCTAAATTGATTTTTTTTAAATTTCACATTAATATCAATGCATTTATCTTAGAATCAAAAGATTACTCATTTAAGAATATCACTTCCCTGGTGTTGCCAGGGGTTAAGACGCAACCTAAGAAGCTATCCATGGCCGCTGCAGCACGAGTTCGATCCCTGGCCAGGGAACAACCCACATAGTGCAGCAGACCTCTCCTGACTCGCCCTCTGCTCCCCTTAGCAGTGTATTTCAGTAGATCTGCCTGTTCTGTTCCCCATTGTCTCTAGTAAATCCTCTCACCCCCACACCTCTGGCCTGTACCCCAGTTCTTGTATGCATAAATAAAATAAATCTTTAAAATAAATAAATAAATAAAAATATCATTTAGAATTTGTTCTCTGTTCATTTCTGATTATTAAATTTTACTTTGAAATATTAAATCAGGTGGGCTTTTTTTTTTTTCCAAAGCTTTGTGCAAGATCAGCTTTATATATGTTACTTTGGAATTACTTGAAAACTAAAAAAACTTTGAGGTCAGAATTCATGATAAAATGATTAAAAAAAGAGGTATTACTAAGAGATGTAGAATAAATGGCATCTAAATGATCTAATTTCCTTAATGTTCTCTCTCTCTCTTTTTTTTAAAGATTTATTTATTTATGCATATAAGAACTGGGGTACAAGCCAGAGGTGTAGGGGGTGAGAGGATTCACCAGAGACACAGAACAGTTGGATTGACTGAAATATACTGCTGAGGGGAACAGCAGGCGAGACAGGAGGGGTCTGCTATGCCATGTGGGTAGCTCCCTGTCTGGGGATTGAACTCGTGCTGCAGTGGCTGCATATCGCTTCATAGGCTGTGTCTTAACCCCTTGCACCACCAGGGAGGCCCCCTAATGTTCTCTTTTTTTTGCAGTAGCTATGAGCATTTCATTTCTGAGTTTGAAGTAATATAGTATTTCTATGATTTGTATTATATTGTGTTTCTGTGAGACTGATTTGAATTGCATAATCTCAATCTTGAAATTGACTTTTTGCTAAAACCACCTTTTTGCCTGCCTTAATAGCTCCATTTGTTTGAAGGTGGGATACCTTGCAGAGTCTTAGATGTTGGGTACCTGCTGACTATATATAAATTACTAGTTCCTACATGGATAGAATGATAGCAAGATTGCTTTTAGAATAAATGAAAGAAGGGGTGAAGCACAAACTCCTTACACTAGATGTGTGAAACAGACCCTTCCTATGTCCGTTCTACTGACCTAACTGCAGATCCTTGGTGGAGCTAGTTATGTTAACTGTATCTTCTTCAGATTGTCATCAGTTAAATAGTACTGTCCTGTCCCCAAACTAAACCAAACTTTCCCTTGAAGAGAATGTGTGTGCACGACACTTTTCTCCTGAACAGTTCTTCACTCTCTTTCATATTTTGATGGGAGACAATAGAGCTGTTCTAAGGATGGTGATAGATCTTGGTAACAAGATCTTGGTAACAAGTTATCCCAGGAGAATTACAGAATATTGTGGGATGGGATTATGGCTAGTTAGGTACAGCAAATTTAGTAATAAAATAATTGTTCTGTTGTTTAATTTTATATGGTCATTTGAGATTACCGCAGTTTATCAATTGCATAAGAAATTTTGTATGATATTTAGCAAAAAGGAAAACTCCTCTAGTTTAACCAAATAATTACATAATAATATTTTGTGGTTGTCTGGCCACAATTCTTTGTTGAAAGCCACAAGTGATCAATTTAAGTCCTTAAGTCTTCAGTTGGGTTTTTATCTCAATCTCAATAAGCATTATTATTTACAATAAAAAAAGTCTACTTTTCCACAAATTTTGTAATCTAGTTCTAGCAGTGGTATATGTCTATATTGTTTTGGTCCTCAATACATATTATTTAAAGATTATATGGTAATAGTAGTAATATCTAATATATATACCTTATATACTTTATATACTTTAAAATATTAAATCCTCCTTAAAACTCTAGGGTGATACCATTTTTTAATCCCATGAGAAACTAAAGCACATGTGAGCTGAATCTTTAAGCGAGTAAGTGACAGCACTAGAATTTCAAGCCAGGCACTCTGGTTCCAGTCTATACTTTTAACTATTTTGCTATAATGCTTCAATATAATCAAAACTAAATTTCATCCTATTAACAGATAATAATTATCTAGGTGCTAGACATTGTACCAGCTTTACAATATGCAACAGTGAACAAGATGAGCATACTCTTTAGCCCTCAGTATTTGCTAGTAACAGTTTTTATTTTATTTTATTTTTTACATCACTGTTCATTTTTAAACAATATTTGCTTCCCCCACCCCCTCAGGTGTAGTTCTCATAGAGTTTCCTTCACCAGTACACCTGTGCACCATCACCTCAGTCCCCTGTGCTCCTCCCTCCCTCCTTCCCTCTGATCCCTCTCCCTCCTCCTCCCCAGCAGGGTGTCTCTGATTTATAATTGTCTGTTTTTGCTTTGTTGTGCTTTGTACTGTTATTATTTTTTTACACTGATGTCTTATTTGGTTCCCCTATATTCCTGCTAGAAGTGAAACCATGTGATATTTGTCTTTTTCCTTCTGCCTTATTTCACTGAGCATAATTCTTTCTCGCTCCATCCTCAGTATAATGGATTTGCGGAACCTCAGAGAGGGATGGTAGCTGGGAGCTGGTATAGACTAACTTCTCTCCGAGGCACAAATCCCTCAATTATAAGTCCTGGTTCCGTGATGGAGAACTTAGCCTCTCGCAGAGCAGTCTACTTCATTTCAAGGCAACCATTGTTACTAAAGGGCTCTTCCCTTTAATAAGATGGGGAACTGGAAGGTACTGTTTGTATACCTAGAGGTTAGCTAGGAAAGAACGTAACTCGGCATGTTAACTCCCTCAGTATATCTGCATTATGGAAAAGACTGTAAAACTTTGTAAGAATTTTCCACCCCTTTGAATGTCTATGGCAGATACTTATGCCACGTTGCAGTAAAATACTATTAGTTACACCAAGAGTTGGCCAATTTGTAGAATTGTAGAATTCAAGGGTTTTTCTATGACGTGTGATTTAGATTTTTCAGTAGTTCCAATTTCAGATGATAAATGTGGATTTTGTTTTTCCTAAGTAAATAATCTCACATCTACACTAGGTGGCAGTAGACAAGCAAGAATAAAATGTCTGCAAGAAAACTCTTTGGACAGCTAGCCTAAGATTGAAAGGAAAGTGAGATACCCTCTGGTTTCTTATCTTTGCTTTTGGTCTGTACTCAGAGCTGATCAGAAGAGTCTTCGTTCTGCTCCTTGGAATGACCAGAAACAAAGGTGCTGGCAAACTGAGCAGATAGTGCTTTGTCCTCACCTGGTACAATTCTAATCCCTTCTTCACGGTAGCACAAGAATTACTTGGCATGTATTTGCCATGTATATACCTCCTCCTCGTATACATTTTGTGTTAATTATATTCTTAATATTTATGTTAATATTTCTAAGTTATATCCATCAAACATGATAAGAGCTTTGAAAATCATCCCAATGCTTTTACCATGGGTTTAGGGCTTATCACCACAGCCCCAAACTATTGTAGCCATGTCCTCACTGCTAAACCTGCATTATTCTTGATCCCCTAGATGTGTCTGTCAGATTAGTTTTTCTGAAGCACGTTTTGGCCTCCAGTTTTTCTATGCCTTCTCATGTTCCTTCATCCTTCAGAATTTGACCCTTGCCAACCTCTCTTATTGCTACTGTTTGTGAAAGTATCAGGTCAGCTTTCTGCCTTTCCAAGTGAGAGATAGAGCTCAGGAATGCTCTCTAGCACATCTCTCTCTGTTTATGTTTTCTAAGCCCTCCCCGCTTTTTTTTTTTAAGATCCATCTTAAGTTCTTCTTTCTCCATAAGAAGCCTCTCTCCACTGTGTTGCTTAGTCTACAGTCTGGAGTTTTTCTCTACATCTATTGTTGGTATTGTACATCTGATACAAGGTTCTCTTATCTTTGTTGCACTTTATTTATGTCTTTTTATTCATAATGTTTAATAAATGTTTGGCAATGTGGATTTTTTTTTTTTTTTTTTTTTTTTTGGTATTTTCAAATTCTGAAATAACCTTCCGGAGAGGTTCTAGTTAATCTCCATTCTGGTTAATTATTCCCTTTGTTTTTCTTTCTAATTTTTGTATATACACTTAAATCTGTAATTAGACATTTAATCATGGATGTCTTTGAACTTGATATAAGGGAATTAAAGAATATATTTTCCTATAACTTACTTTTTCATTTAATATTTAAATCCTGCGATTCTTATATATGGATTCTGACTTCAGCATTCATATGCAATTGCTCAGAGTTGTATTTCATTCATTTTCAATTCCATTGACTTTATCACAGCAGCATTTACCATAGTAGTAATAACCATGTATCTATTCTACTGTTGGTAAACATTTGGGGGATTTCTGGGTGTATATGTGTGTGTGGGGGTGTTACAACAATGCCGCTATAAATGTCAGCATTATGGAGCTTCCTAGTTTTGCAATCTAACATATTAAGTGATATTTTGCTTTAATTGTGTAATCTCTTCACATGTTATGTGCTAGGTTTTCTCTTTTATAATACTGTTCTTGGAATTGCTGTCCCTTCACTTTGATTTGTAGATTTTTCTAATGTATTTTGCATATTTGTCCTTTCTTAGTTTTAAAAATCATGACATCTCCTGTTCTTGATTTAATTGCTAATTTATTGGTAACCATTGGTTAAACAGAAATCTTTAATTTTGGTATAATCAGATGCATCAATTTTTTTTTGCCTAACGATTTTTCTCATAGTTTTTGTTTAAGATGCTCTTTTCAACCTTATATCACAAAGATATTAACTTTATAGTTTTAACATGATCATTTAGGTTTCTAATTTATCTGCTTTCATTTTCGTGCATGAGATCCATATAATGAACCAGTTCTCTCTTAGATAAATCATCTTTCTCTATTGATTTATGTACCTTGTCTTTCATATTTATGTTCCATATGTAATAGGACTCTACTAATGACTTCTTTATTGTACACCTTTCTACTTACGTCTTCTTTAGTGTCTTTACATGAGTTTTATTCTTTTTTCCCCCATAATGTATCTTTGTATGTTTATTCTAATGTATTTTATTTTTTTATGGCATTGTAAGTGATGTCTTTCTAAAATTTCCATTTGCTGTGTACTGAAGTGCAGAAATGCAATTGATTTTGTATATTGATTTTGGATATGGTAAATTCTCTTACTAGTTCTAATGATTTGGCAGTAGATTCTTTGGGTTTTTTCATAGGTAATTATATATGAATAGAAATTTTACTTCTGTTACAATTGTTACAGCTTAATACCTTTTATTCCCTTTTCTTAATGAACTGGCTAGCATTTTTTCTGTATCTTCTGAGGAGGGTCATTTTATTTTTAGAAAGTCTCTTTCTAGATGAATCACTTTGATTTTGTAATATAAAAACAGATTTTTATTCTGGGATAAATTTAGCTTGGTCATGATGATTTTTTACACATTGATAGACTAATAATTGTTCCATTTTTTGCATCCTTGTTAATATATGTACCAATATATCTCCCGCCACCAATATATTTTAATTTTAGAATATATTAGGAAGCGCCCTCTAGGTTATACAAATAGCATTCAGGGTTTTTTTTCTAATAAAAAAATCTAATATTTACTTTTTAAATATATATGCACAGATTAATCCCAAACTTGAAGTGATTGATTTGCAGACCGCCTCTCCCCCAGTCGTGGACATCTTTTCTTTTGATTCTGGATTGGTAAGTTTTCCTTGACATTTAAGTGTCGTTTAACTAGTTGGCACAAACCATTTTCCTTAAAAAGTACATGAAAGTGGAAATAAAAAGTGAGCTAAATAGCCTAACATTTTAGCGTGGAGTAAGCGTAGTACAAAGAAGTCATTTTTACAGCACTTCTAAATAGCCACATGGGGGAGCAGCATCACTTCCAGAAAAGCCTTCTACCCGAGCAACCCTGAGCTCCCTCTAATCCATAGTCACTGTCTCATCTCCTATGAAGGTGCCACCCAGGTGGCATTTCACTTGCTGTCCTGGAACACATTTCCTTCTTTGTAAATTACCTTTCAGAATATTAAACACACTTCCAGTTTTCTCTTTAGAAGCTGTTAGAAAAATTTCCCTTTGTTAATCCAGATGCATTATATAGAAATTAAAGAAGTATTTTTAATACTTGGAATTTGGTTTAGGTACTAATTTTGTTTACATTACGTGCATGTATTTATTTACTCACTGTATCCAAAATCTTCAAAGATTGAGGGTTTCAGCCTTTCACATTGAGTGTTTGTCTTTTCAAGGCAGATCATTGCTGCTGTCAGTGATATGAGTTGTAAGAACGAATGTGGGGAATAATGTGGCTTTTGGTGGTAACATTTGTGATGGTATTAGTATTGCTAATATTTTGGGTAAATTACTACTGCATGGCAAGAAAAAAAACAAGCAAAAACCTTGACCCAATGACTTTCCAAACTTCCCAGTAGATCTTAAAAACTATATTTATTATAAAGGAATTTTGTACAGCGCTAGGTCACCTTGAGTCTATCCTGTACCAGAAAGAACTCTAATTATTAAAGGATTTTTTTAGAGTTAATCCCAAACAGGAGACACCTACATTACTCATTAGACATTCCAATTATGAGAATTCAGCTGTCAACCAAGGGGCTGGTTGTCAAAGGGATGTCCAGGATTCATGGGTGACAAGGACTTCTAGGTAATCTGTGTCCTTTTCTCCTACAGTGTTCATGTCTATAAAATAACCCTACTCACATTTCTGCATTCATAAAGTACTTATGAAATGGAAAAAAAAACCTATACATCTACTTCTTTTTCTTTTTTTTTTTAAAGATTACTTATGCATACAAGAACTGGGGTACAGGCCAGAAGTGTGAGGGGTGAGAGGATTCACCAGAGACAGAGGGGGGAGCAAAACAGGTAGATCTACTGAAATACTCTACAGAGGGGAGCAGCGGGCGAGTCAGGAAAGGTCTGCTGCACCTTGTGGGTTGCTCCCTGGCTGGGGATCGAACTTGTGCTGCATTGGCTGCGGATGGCTTCATAGGTTGTGTCTTAACCCCTTGCACCACCAGGGAGGCCCCTGTACATCTATTTATTGCCACAGTCCTTGACTTATAATAGGTGCTTAATATATTTATCTTCAATAAATTGTTCATAAGACATGCTGTTGAAACCTATAAATTTGAGCATTTTGGATTTTCGCTCCTGTAGCGAGAGGAAAAAAAATATAGGTGGTTTTTTGAGATGTTTTGCCTTCTTATAGACTAAAGTTGGGTGTTTGTGGCTTGGAAGATACATAGATTATCAAAGATCTGTCGTCCACACTTTGAGACTCACTTTCTGTGTCCTTTAAGCTTTGCAAAGACTGACAGCGGGAGGGATCTACATGTTCTTGACAGATAATGTGCAATGTAGGTGGGCTTAATTGCCAGCCAGCAAGTGATAGCATGGAGTCTGGCCTTCAGTGGTAACCCAAGGATGCTAAAGTCAACTGCTCCTTTGTGATATAGGACCCTAATTTAAAAATAAAGCATATGTGTGACTTCGAGAGTTCAGTTCTATATAGTAAATACTTAAAAAGTTTGTAGTTGTCCGTCAAAACAGAATAATAAGACTGAAAAGTACGGTTGGTATCTACATAAAGGGAAAACGTTAGGATGAATTATATGAAATTGCCATTTTGTAGGCAAAGCAATCTAATATCACTGATTTCCGATGGTTCAACCCAATATATATGCATTAAAAGGAAGCTTTACTGTTACTTTGAGTTACATGCTTGATGCTACTTAAAAATAAAACAAACAAGAAAACAAAAAATTCTTTGCTATAAATTGACTTGGGATTAGGCTCATGAAGTACCTTGTATGTAGATTCTTTTATAATCTAGAAATAGCTGCTTGCCTCCAGGCAACATTTAAAGACTCCTGCTTTTATTTTACTAGTTCACTGAAGTACTAGTAATTTCAGCTCACTAGTACTAAGGACATCAACACTCATAAAGCATTTAAATTTTTATAAAGAATATCTCTAAGGAACTTATAAATTTTCAACATCTTTAGACACATGGGTTGATAATTGGTTATCAATAGTTTATCAATAAAAAATCACTTTGAGTAGTTTACCTTCCCGTTAATCTACTAGTAATTCTTTTTTTTTTTTTATCTACTAGTAATTATTAATCTGTAGTGTCCTCTATATATTGACTGTTCTTTTTTTGCTTCTGCATATGAGATCAGATATACTTGTAAAGGAGACGTGTTTCTAGTCTGGCATGAACTACAACTACATTAAATATTTGTGGTATGAACGCTGGGTGTGTTTATAGTGTGAAAACCCAAAGAAGTATTGGAAGCCAAAAAGAAACAGTGTTTAAAGGTGTTTTGGTTTTTTTTATTGTGACTGTTTATTGAAGGAAGGGTTGTTTGTTTTGCTTTTATAATCTCAGGGAAAGTTTCTTTAGAAATTCATTTAATCAAGATGGGATTTAAAAAGATCACTCTTTAAACCTTAGAATGTCAATTTTCTGAGTAGCATGAGAGCAAGCTAGGTGAAAGAAATACTTGGCTTTTCTTCTTCTTTGACTTGACTTAATATTAAGATGGTTTGTAGATGTAAATGTACTGATAGCTTATCTATGCTCTGATGCCTTCTAACTACAGAAACCCTGGTATATATGTAACAGTTGATAATTTTGTGACTTGCAATGTGCCTCTAATGCCAGGCAGGAAATTTGATGTAATATTTCAGGATCAAAATAAGTCATTGCCAATCTGTATTTTTAAAGCTTTTTAAAGCTTTTTTAAAGCTTTTTTTGAAAAACAAAATATAACGGGTTTCTATACAGGATATACTGTCTGCCATATAGACATAGTTAAAAAATGTTGATCTCAAATGTCACATACTAATTTTCTAAAGGTTATTTAGTTTAAGATTCCATTATGTCTTTTAAAACTCGATCAGGCTTTTGTCTCAACATATGTACTAAGGAGTTCACTATGAGCATTAACCGGTGATCAGCATCCTTGGTATCAGCATCCATGTGGTGACTTGCATGTTTCAGACCCTTCCCACATCTCTGCCTTTTCCCTTCCCAAAGGCATGCAAGACTGGAACTGTTCTTCTGGCTCCTACAATAAAGTTTTTTTATTTAATTTTATTTTTTAATTTTATTTTTATATTCCCCATATAATTGCAACCTCTTTATTTTGACCCCAATCCCTCCTTTTCCCATTCCCCACCCCCCAATAGTGTGTCTCTGGTTCATAGTTGTTTGTTGATTTTGATTTTTTTCAGTTTTTTTAATTTTTTAAATGCTGACTGTAAACAAAATTTATTTTAAATACCCTAGGTTATTAAGATATTTTGTTACCTTTACATAAACTCTATTCCTAGGTTTTCATGTACTAATTTAGTTATTATTTGTCCTGCAAATGAACAAAATGAAATCAATAATCATATCTAGGGCCTCCCCGGTGGCGCAGAGGTTGAGCGCTGGGTTGCGAAGCTGCCCGCGGCCTCTGCGGCGCCGGTTCGATCCCCGGCTGCTCCCCGGCCACCGGAGGAGGGTCCCACATGGCGCGCAGACCTCTCCTGCCGCCCGCTGCTCCCCTCAGCAGTGTACTTCGGTCCTTCTGCCTGCTCTGCTCCCCGCTCTGGCTCTGGTGAATTCTCTCACCCTCCCGCGCTTCTGACTGTACCCAGTGCATGTATAAACAAAACAAACAAACCAGCAAACAAATAAAGCATGCCTCTATTAAAAAAAAAAAAATAATCATATCTAGTGTTCTTCCAACTGACAAAGTAGTGGACTCTTTTCAGAGAACTAAAACTGTTCTCATCTCCTCTTGGCACCAGAGTAGAATATGAACTTAATGTATATATGGCTTTCTTTAGAATTAGGACTATATTTGAGGTCAAATTAATTCTTTTTTTTTAATCCCTATGCTCAGATTTATTCTTTATAATAAACTGAGAATTTGCAGCTATATTATAGAAAAATATCAAGGGTCTACAGTCTTTTGTTGCTCCATTAGTCAAAATATCTCAAGTTGCACTGTACGAGGGCATTACTTGAGGTGTTGTGGGGGGTGTAGAGCTGGATGCCCAACCTCAAGAAATTTGCAGCTAGTCACATGGGAATAACAGTATAATAACAGACTGGCTATTTCCATGTACTAGAAGCCAAATGCATGTGATTGTTATATGGAAGGTTGTTAATGGAAGAATTTAGAAAAAAATTACTAACAGGTTAAAAGAAACCAGAAAGCTAGAAGAAAACCTTTGAGCAGTGTCTGACCTGACTAGAGCTGAATAAGACTTTAATAGGGGCAATGCAGGCCGGGAAAGGAAGGCATAAGTATTGAAAATGCATACTACTCTCACACGTTTCTCAATCTAAGGTTATACACTTACTTTTCATGACTTTTGAAACATGAACAACAAAAAAAGAAAAATATCTGCCCCAGCAAAGCCTATACTCTGTGTTGCAGTCGGGGAGCAGGGCATTCACAGATCAAACATGGCCTGTGTGGTATAGTGGACCAAAACAATGCACAGTTGAAAAAAATCACTGGGGGCTATGGAAAAAGTGGTACATCTTAGATAATATGGCCAGGGCAAGTCATGTGGAAAATGGCATTTGAGGGCCTCCCCAGTGGCACAGCGGTTGAGCGCTGGGTTGCAAAGCTGCCCACAGCCTCTGCAGCACCGGTTCAATCCCCGGCCACCGG